CTATATTCTTATACTATATCTATATATATACACACACACACATATATATATATATATATATATATATATACATAAATATATATATATATATATATGTATATAACACATAAATAGATATTGATATTGATACTGCTATTTATGTATATAGATATTCATAATATACATGTACATTGACATACGCATATACATACTATACAAACAAACACACATATGTATAAATACATGAATATCTAACAACATATAGCAAAATATAACAATATTTATCAATATATAGCAATATATAATAAAATATAACAATATATAACAATTTATATCAATATATATATAATAGAAATTGATATTTTTGTATATAGTTATAAATATAGAGATATATATATATATACAGATACAGAAAGACATAAAAATAGATACATATAGGGATATAGCTGGATATACATATATATCGATGTATATAAATATAAATATATATATATATATATATATATCGATAATATATATATATATATATTTATATCAATGTGTATTATATATATAAATATAAATATATATCAATGTGAATTATAGATATTTATATATCAAGGTGTATATATACATAATAAACACATATATATATGGACATATGTATAGTTTTAGTGATAGATATAATATACTAATAATAATATATATATACGTTTGTTGTTTCAATCAAAAGCGTAATCTCGAAACAAGAGTCAGTGTATGCAAATTCATATCGTCCGAATGAGTCGTACACGACTGAAAGATGTTTTTCGGATACACCGTAAGAGAAGTTTGGCTGGCCATACCTTTGACTTCTTCCAACTTGGGTGTCAGAACGACAGCATGTGCTTACAGGAAATTGATAGCAAAGCAAGAGATAAAATCTTCGAATATTCAAAAAGATATACGCCCAGTTCAACTGAACAAGTAAAATATCCTTTATCAATGGATCTGAGGTAGACGTATACTAATATTTGTGAAGTCTTTTTCCAGACTAAATTGCTCCGTCGTGCAGGATGAGAAAGTTCTCACTCGAATATATCCAAAAAAAAGTGTACAGCACCAGATGTTGAGGCGGCCCTGCTTGTTACACAGGCGCCACTGGAGGCGTACTGAGTAGTTGTTGTGCACTCAATGAACATGGTCATTATGTAGGGAACAATCAGCGTACGCTAATTGACCAATATTACGAAGGCCAGAGTTATTCTGATAGCACTGTTCTGTCAGGAAATGCGCTGCCACAGATTTGCTTTTTAACTAACATTCATAGGTGTAAATATAGCAGCCACGAAATAGTCACCAGTATCATTCTTCATTTGTCTCTTGTTGTATACACGCAGATCGATTGTCAGGCTGGAACTACTCTATGCACAGTAAAGAATTGTAGCAATTCCAAGAAAAATTGGTTCCATCCATCTCTGACTAGTATACGGTTCCAACTGGTCATTTCCATCCTTTGACTGCTATACGGTTTCAACTGGTCATTTCTATCCTTTGACTGTTATACGGTTTCAACCGGTCATTTCCATCTCCGACTGGTATACGATTTCAAGAAAAGAAGTCGGTCTCTTGCTTCATCAGCGGACAAGTTTGTATCGCGATAGGTGTCTTTGTTGCACGCAAAGCCTAGGTGTTCATGATCGGTAAAGACCCTACTTACCGGAGTATACTCTACAGCTCGAACGTGTATTGAAGTCTCAGACGGGGACTCGTTAGAGTATCCAGATGAATCATACCCGGAATCAGACGGGCTGACAAGCGTTGTTTTTTGCATCGCTGTTCCCTTACGGTCTGGTACCGGTGCTTGACCGTTGGGGTTGGGAACTACCTCTGGATAGTACTTTGCAGAGCTATAAGTGGACATTGTAGACAGGCTTGAAGAACACTACAAGGGAACTATGGGCCTATCAACCGTGGAAAGACTGAATGTCTACATAGGAGCACACCCTGCTGGCATTAGTGACATCTTTAGAGGCTTTTTGCGAACTGTCAGGGATTTTGATTGTGCTTCATATAAGGTCTGGCGGAGCTGCTTGTCTCGAGGTTGAAGGACAGAAGGGAGTGTGTGTGAGAGAGAGTATATATATTCAGATTGTGATAGAAATAGTGAAATACATACTGAAACTTGAACGACAGCTGGGGCCTGAGGGGCTTGGCCCGCTTGTTGGGCCTTGGGGTGGGGAACTGGGTGGGGTAAATCCTGCAGGGGCAAGGCCCGCACAGCCCCACAGGGCTCAGGGGCCTCACCGCCGCAGCCGCGGGCGCAGCCGCTCAGGGCTGCCACAGTGTGCCAGCCTCAGCGGTACATATACTAATATTGCCTAATATCATTGTATCAGTGTATCAGTAACTCAGTGTATTTGTTGTTGAGACTTGGGAGTTGGGAATGTGTTGTTAAAAAAAAAAGGTGCTCTATGTATTGATGATTTGATGACTATGTGCCTATTTTTAACTGCTGATATTTACTGGAACAGATACTAAAAAGTGTCCATAAATTTCATCAGATAAATATTAGAAATTTCCATTGGATAAAATAGCATGCGGACATCTCAGAAATGCCGCCATATTATTCGCTCTTTATACAAATGCCTGGTACAGTAAGTCAGGAACAGGAGTGAGGAGTCTCTCTCTCTAGAACTGGTGCCTCTGGAGCCTGGAGGCCGCAGGCCTGCTGACTGCTGGCAGGCATTCAGCCTCTCAGGCAGGCAGCCTGGGCTGCCAGGCCCTGCGCTCCGGCAGTCCCGCAGACCCACACTCTCCTCTTGTGTTGCAGAACTTCAGAAGATGCAGGCGCTCTACAATCTACAGAGTAGACTCACTCTCTCCCTAGTAGAATAGACTGTAGAGTGAGAGACTGAGAGTACATAGTAGGCTTAAGGCTACAGGCTGCAGGCTGTAGCCTTGAGACTACTTGCAGGCCCCTGGCCCCCTCAGGCCTGCAGCCCGAGCGTGATTGTGTGTGTGTGTTGTAAACTGTAAACCCTGTGCTAAACTATTTGAGTGTCCTGAGGAAAAACCTGTCTGGGTTCTGGCGCGCACTACTTTTCTCTCGACCAACGAAAACCCTGTAGATTTTCAGCCTTCTGGAAATAGAACATATCATCTATATTATCTCTAGATAAACGACAATCCGCTTGGCTGAGTCCCACACTTTCTCTTGATTAAAAGTACTGCTACTAAAGCTTAGTTGAATAAACTTAGTCTTACGCTCGAGCACACCGCACTTTTGTGTCAATAGAGTCAGGCTTTACAAGACGAAGAGAGAGAGAGAGAGAAAGCGGGAGAGAGGGAGAGAAAGAGAGAGGCGAAGGGTGGCTACCCAATATCACAGTTGTCACAACTTGCACTTTTAAAAATATCTATATTACCAGAGCCTCTCTCCCTCTCTCCCTCTCTCCCTCCTTCTGTCTATTTGAGAGTAGACAGAGAGAGAAAGAGAAAGAGAGAGAGCACCAGCCGTCAGCCTCCAG